TGAATTTGGTCGAAAGTAAAAATGTCGAAAGCAAAAATGTCGAAGGTAAAATGTCGAAAATAAAAATATCGAAAATAAAAATCTCGAAAATAGAAATGTCGAAAATAAAAATGTCCAAATACAAAAATGTCGAAAGGCGAAAATATCGAAAAAAATGTTCTTTTTTTGAAGTTAGATAAGTTAAAGATTGGAAGCGGATTATTTATACCATACAGGGAGGGTTCTCCTGTATAACGTCGAAAGGAAAAGTGTCAAAACGAAAAATAACATATATGTCGAAAGATAGAAGTGCCGAAAATGAAAGTAGACGAAAGTAGAGACCTCTCTGCCCTCACCCTCACCCTTGTTCTTTACCATCTACCTTTATTTTCTGTTTCGATATTTTTATTTTTCGATCAAATTCAGGTTACCACGTAGAGAGGCAACACTAAGAGTCGATGAGGTACTTGTCCAGTTTAATCGCATCAATCACAGCGCCCTCACCCTCATGCCATATTGTGTATGTGAATTACACCAATCAGTGAAGAAGTGGTGTCACAGATCTAAGAAATCGGGGATCTCAGAAATCTCCAATGAGATCTTCCATATACTAACTAAATTACAACGTAATATTGAATTATTACACACTAATGATACTTTTTTTTACTATTTCAAACCCTTAAGGAGATATCGCATCTCTACAAGAGATACCATATCTCTCATCAGATCTCTGTAAGAGATGCCACATCTCCCTTTCGTGATCAGTCTTCTCGTGGCACCCACAGCAGCTGCCCTGTGATGTATGTCCTTTGGTGGTCACTCCTTTCGCGGCACCCACAGCAGCTGCGATGTGATGTATGTCCTTTCGTGATCAGTCCTAATCCCGCGTCATTCCTAGGCTAAAATTAAAAAAAATTTCATAAGGAGATGTAAATCCTAGGGATATGGCATCTCTTACAGAGATCTGATCAGAGATACGGTATCTCTTGTAGAGATAAAGGCTAATATCAGATATGTGTAATATATGAGTAGGATGAAAATGCTTGTATATATAACATCTCCATGAAGACCTCTGAGATCCCCGATTTCGTGGATCTGTGACACTGCTGCAGTGAAACCTGTGAGTAACCTGGACTAGAACCAAAATCTTTAATAAAACAATACAACAATATCTTTTCTTTTTCCAGTCTCGTGCATAGTCTTTCGACATTTTTACCTTTCGGCATTTTTGTTTTTCGACATTTTATTTTCGGTATTTTTGTTTTTCGACATTTCTATTTTCGATATTTTTATTTTCGACATTTTACCTTCAACATTTTTACTTTCGACATTTTCACTTTCGATCAAATTCAGGTTTACCATTCTATTCATCTGCATGTGTAGTATCGTTTCATAAGCTCACGTACTTCATTCTTAGCGTTTGCAAATTTTCAAATCGTATTTGAAGTAAAACATTTATCTTCATACTTTAGTATGAACACAGATGTAGGTGTTTTCTTTTCTGAAATGATGACTCACACTCCGATAATCCTCAGAGCAATCTGTACTAGACTAACAAGCAAAGTCTCTGAAGAGAATAATGAATTCTTTTTCCGGCTTCAGGCTCTCAAATCAATTTAAACTACGAAGTTCATTGAAAATCGGACACCTCAAAGCTCAAATAGTTAAAATGCTATGTCGAACTGTGTGTTATAATCTCCAGCTTCAATCAGACGAACTTATTTTGTCTGATCACACAGACAAATACACCGTTTCAAGGTTTTGTTTTATTAAAAAGTGCTTCACTTGTTTGATATCCCATTTTTCATTCGTCTGCTCCTTTGTTTGTCGTACTCACTCTGACTAAAGGAATAACAATACAACAAATAGTCTATACAACAGTATTAGTCTCGGTGAAAAATTCAAACTTATACTAGTCATTATTGAAAGGAAGATGATAAATCTGACTGTTTCAGATATGACATCGTCAGCAAAACAATATGAATACGTCAATGAATATGCGATTGATCGTAAGCTCATTTACAATATTCATCAACAACCTTTTCAATCACCGGTTCATGTTGAATGTGAACATGTGTTTTGTCGATTGTGCATCGATACTTGGACGAAACAAAATAAATTTTGTCCAACTGGTCATCATGAATTTCAGACTGAATATACGTTAAGCAACATGATGATATATCGTTTGTGGCATCAGCTAGATTCTCTTATAGAGGACGGTAGTGGTTTCGAAGCTTTTCCGCAAGTACTCGGTACTTATTAAAACTATTATAAGAACAAATACAAATCGTCTAAGTACATCTATACCAACGAAAACTATATGCAAAACTGAAGCTAATAATACTAATCAGGAAGCAAACACTTTTGTTAATCGTGAATTCCTAGATGAAAAGCTAAATGCCACAGCAGGAGCTTCACGGCAACGAACATTTTCAATACCAATTGTAGCTTGATTACAAGCACCTACAGAAAGTTTTCACATTCATGATACTTACAACTCCACAAGAATAATAACTGATTGGCTTCCTATTATCATTTGTACTGTTGTTTTATTGATTATATGGCGCGTAGTGCCTAATTCGGTTGTTTGCAGTCCTAGTAAATTCATAAGAATTATGAATAATACTGGTGATTGTTTAATGACTGTTATGAGTATCATTACTGAGATTTTAACGGCAATCATTGCTGTTATTTCTGTTTGTTTTGAAATTCTAATGACAAGTTTGATGATTATTTGTGAAATTTTAATTGCAGTGTTTAGTTTATTTGCCCTTCATTGACTTATAAAGAAAAAAAAATTTGGTCAAACTGATCACAGTCTGGATTAATTTCGTGATTTTGAAAGAAGTTTTGTAGAAAATAGCCGAAGCGACGCTTGAGCCTTGCCGTTGTCTTTTATTTTCTCATCACTTAAAGCAAACTGATTCGTTATTAACATATGTAGCAGACAATGTTGAGATTTAAGCATTGTGAAATAGGAGTTTTCAAATGATTCAAGCGAGAATTCATGATATTGTGGTTTATACAAGGTATCAAACATAAAAGTTTCAAAAATTTTTATGTTTCGATACATTGAAACAATCAGTGTATGAAATTATTCTTCTAAAAATTTCAGTCTTAAATATTCTTTTTTTCGAAAAAGTTAGTCACTATCAACTTTTAATAATATCGCCATGTACATAAGGAAAAAAAAAAGCATAATTTCTCCCATATACAAGTTGTGAATATCAAGGTTGCAGCATGTTATTCAAGTTCTTGAATCAAATTTACGAAAACACTATTAGTTTCTATAGTTAGTATTTGATAGTATATCTGCCATCATTTTTAAAATCAAGAAAACACATACTAAATTTTTGATATGCTATGCAACTTTCAAATTCTTCAAGGAACGAGAACATGTATTTACAAAAAACTTTTCTTTATGCGAAAAGAGACTAACATGATCTTTAATTCAGTGAATATTTTCGACAAAAACCAAACATGGGCATTTTAAGATGGTATTCATTATTGGGTAGGTGTGGGTGTTTGTAATTCTTCTCCTTACACCCACACCCTCATTTATATTTCTGCTTGATGAAAAAAATGAAGTTTCCCCACGAATGTTAGTCAATAATTTACGTGTTCGTTTATGAGATAAAGTTATATGTCATCTTATCATCTTTTTTGGTAGTGCAACACGGTCCAGTGTTGTATTTGTTTTCGATGAATACTTTTATGTTGCTATAAGGGGCTCTTACAGATCGTGAGTAAAGAAAGTGAGATAAGAAACAAAAAGAAAAGATTAAAAATGTCAAATATCCACCAGCAACAGTAACAGATAGAGAGGGTTCTTTTGTATAAAAGATAATCGGCAAAAGTCGAAGCTGTAGTGTTTTGAATTATCTTCATTTGATTTTGTTTACTAACAGTGGTAAGTGGCACATGAAAATAATTAAATACGACAAATGTATTCATGTCATGTGATACACATAAGGGTGAATAGATTGCAAACATAACTGATCTAGAAAGAAAAAAACTTTGCTGATAACGACTGCAGTCAGTTTGTGACGAGTTTACAACAGTTATTTCGTCTTGTTAACAACAAAAAAAACCATTTTCCCCACTATATAGATAATATATCTCCTCTTCTACACTACTGGCCATTTTCATTAGCAAATTATAAAATAGGATCGGATTCTGTATGTTTGGGTCACTGCGAGATGTCTTATGAACAGCTTCGATCATATATACTTTCTCTAAAGAAGAAATTGATTGTGTATTTTTTTAGAGGGAACATTAGCACCATAATCATGCAGGACTTTGCAGCTAGATATTTTCATTTTACCCAATTTTCATCTCATATAAGTTGAGAGTAATAATCTACAAAATGCCCCAAAAATATTATTCTCATTTTGGAGCATTTAAAGATATATAGACGTCAAAAATATGATGAATTACGAATGCCATTGTACGTTTGACGATCAGAGAATAATGATGAATTGAGCCATTGTAAGTGAACGATTCGTTTGAGAGGAATCTTTTAAAGTGGATGACTTTGCATAATTTTAAGAGATAAACAAAATGTAAGAATACATGCTACTCGAGGCAAGCCAACACTTCTATCTGCATTTATTCGCCAACTTTTTTTTTTCAAGCAATTGCATCAATCATATTGTCATGCTGAACAGAGTTTATTTTAGAAAATCATTTTGATCATTTATTTGCAAAGAAACAAACAATATTTGACTTGTCTTCTAAACCAGAAAATAAAATGGGTAAGCATTAACAATTTTTTGCACACTGATAGACAATTGTATACTTGCCTTTGGCAGTGTGCATCAAAAACTTTCATGCAATAAATATTATCAACTAGCCAAATTGGAAGTATTTTTTTTTGATTAGACAAACCGTGGTTCAACTGCCAGTTTCATGATATCGATAAAACATCTATCAAGAAACCAGACGAGTTTGGAATCACCAACAGTGATTATGCTCCGTTAGAAAGCATCAATGCGGATATTGTGGATCGAATTCAAGGTTCAATGTTTGGTTTAGCTATAGGTGATGCTCTTGGTGCTCATGTCGAATCCAGGCCTCACAGTTATTTGGTTGCTAATCCAGTCAAGGATCTAATAGGAGGAGGTACATGGGGTCTACAAGAAGGACAGGTAGGAACTGTACAAATAGGAAATATAGGATGATTTGATTTTGTAGTTCACTGATGACACTACCATGGCGCTTTGTTTGGGCATTTCGCTGATTACTTGTCACGACTTTGTACCATATGATCAATTAGTTCGGTACAAGTGGTGGTATCGACATGGCTATATGTCATCGACTGGTCATTGTTTCGACATTGGTGCTGCAACTAAAGATTCCATTCTAGAATTTGAAAAGCGTCAAAACCAATTTGCACAAGATCATGATATTTCTTTAGATGAAATAGACTTTATGTCTGATCGTACTCTTCTTCAAGCTTTCAATGTTAAATGCAGTAAAGAAGGCGTGGCCGGCAATGCGGCCCTGATGCGTCTTGCACCTGTACCCATTTTCTTCTTTCGCGATGAGAAAATGGCCGTAGAATATTCTGGCATGAGTGGCCAAATAACTCATGGGGATGTCAAAGTTTATGATGCTTGTAGTTATTATGCAGCTCTTATTGTGGCTGCTCTGAATGGCGAAAAGAAAGACAAACTCACTAGTAAAACATTTTATGATGATCATTTGGAATGGTTCGGTCATCGAAAGCTTCATTCTGACGTCATGGCGATTGCTCAAGGATCTTACCAAAAACAAGGTGGCTATGCAGATGGGATTCGAGGAAAAGGATACATTATCGATGCTATGGAAGCTGCTTTGTGGGCATTTTGGAGTGATGAAGACTCATTCGAGAAAGGTGTACTTAATGCAGTTAATTTAGGTGATGATACAGATACAACTGCAGCTATATATGGTCAATTAGCCGGTGCCTACTATGGATATAATAAATTACCGAAAAAATGGGTAGATCATATCTATGGGAAAGAATTCATTCATTGTTTAAGTAGCTGGATCGCCTACGAAGGAAGAAATTGGTTCACAACTAAGATGCTTCCGAATAAAAGTGAACTAATTAATTCCTTCAGTCGCATTTCGTCCACTTCTGACCATAGTTTCGATATCATAACATTACATGACTTTCGTGACAGTATTGACAACTCAGTTGTGCAAAACATAGACCCCAATACAATTGAACGCAAGGCAATCGTTTCGTCAGGTCGTATAGGGTGTCTCTATGATGGATGGCGAGATTGTATCATAGAATCGCCCAATATTAATATGAATATCAAAAACGATTATTCGTACCAAGCGACAAAATGTTTCATAAAACGTGGCGATAAGGTTGAAAAACGAAATATTCTACGATTCATGGGTTTTGCGACTGATCTTCGATTAAGTGTGTCATCGAACTTGGTGACACCCATGGGTATTGCTTCAGTCGTGAATTACCCATTTGAAATCGATAGATATACTCGCATTTTCTATTATTCTTCTGTGGTTCGAAATGAAGCTTTATCTGATGAGAAAAATGTTCCAAAAGAAGTGTGCACCACACCTGCCACTCATGTCATCACCGCAATAGATTGGGGTATCGATGTTGTGGTTCTCTTAAGATTACCCATTGACGGTTACAAGATGATCGATAGCAGCCTCAATCAAATGTGTCAATGTGTAAAGGATGGGACGCAACTAACTGTGAATGAACATGAACTGAGCCAGATTCTTTCTACGTTGGTGTATTCAAACTTGCCTAATTTAGCCAAACAGACAAGAATACTGGATGTATATCAAGAAATCTGCAGAATTAAAAATACTGCAGCTGAAAATCAACCATGCAACTATATTCTTAATCCTATCAGCATGTTTTGTCCGGATAACAATCAACAGAACACGAAATTTATTCCAATCGAACGAAATATCGCTACAAAGATTGAAGATCACTGGCTTGAATTATCATCCTTCATGAAAACATGGGCCACATTTCGAAGCAACACAACGTTCAATTTATGGCAAACTGATCTGAAGGAACAGTTCGACGAGGTGCATGGTAAATATGTAACATTAATGGAACAGTACGAAAAAGAAAAGAAAAAAAGTCAAGATTTGATTCCGCGTATTCGTCAAGGAGCACAGCCGCAAGACTCTATTGAACACTGCTTACAGATCGAGCAAGAAGAAACGAAGTTCAATTACAGCATTGAGGGTTTGAAGATTGATATGAGAACTTTGGAACAGAAACATTATTTTATCACGAACTTGAAAAGTCAAAAATTTGATTATTTGAGGGCCGAGAAGTATGATATTAAACAAGGCGATGACGAAACAGTGATTCAACATAAGTTGAATAAAGATCATCGACGGCAATACATCCTGTATTCCAACGACTCTTTAAATGCAAGCAATTGGTCAGAACTACAAGAGATATTTACGCAAATGGTTAATGAACGCAAAAAAGATCCTGACTTGAATTTAGTTTACGTTGATTTTTCGTATTGTTCGTACGAATTAGATATTGTAAAATTATTTCCATCAACGAACTATCGTCCAAATATAAGTTTGTTTGACAAGAAAGAATTCCATCAAAATCCATGCAAACCTTATACAAATCAGATGATTAATATTGTTCTCATAGGTAAAACACGAGTGGGCAAATCGACATTAATTAATATCATTGCCAACTGTCAGAAGTTCAATACATTTTCAGATATACAATCGCGTAAATCTGCCCTACATGTCTTTGTTTCATTCTTCCTTCCACTAATGTTGAATGAAGAAAAGCATTTTATTCAACTCGGCAACAATGATCTTAATGAAGATCATGATCATCCTGGTCAATCCATAACTCAGCATTGCAAATCGTACGTATTCAATATTGGAAATGAGCAAAAATTATGTATTATTGACACGCCTGGCTTTTCTGATATACGTGGTCAAGCTCACGACAAGATAACGATGCAACGTATAATATCATACATCTCGAATGTAACGCATTTGAATGCCATCTGTGTTGTTATAGAGTCAGGGGATTCGGAACTTACTGCTTACCAGCAGTGTTTAACGCCGTTGCTCAATTTCATGGGACAAGAAGTTCATAATAATTTACTGTTTTGTTTCACCAAATGCCTTTCCAATTCAATGCAGGAAAATCAAAGAAAAAAGCAAGTTCAAGAGCTCCTTCAACTACTTCCTCCTGGGAATATTCCTTTGAAACTGAACAGCATATTTTACTTCGACAGCACTTTCTTTCTTCAATTGGTTACGCCACGTTGCCTCGATCGTCAGGAATTGGAATGCGCAAAAAGCTGGGAGATTTCAAAGAAAACAGTAGAATTACTTGTAAAATATATTAGCCAAATAGATACACCATATTTCTTACAGCAAGGATTACGAAGAACAGAATATGCGCAGCTCAAAATCATGCAAATGATTCGTCCAATAACTGAGACGATTCGAAACATTCTTCGAAATCAGATTTTATCTAAGTCGAGTCCCGCACATAAATTTATTGAGCTACTTCCAAAGCCTATACAATGGCCGTCCACTATCTGCTATTCTTGCCAGTGTGCTATTCGCCAATGTGACAACTTGTGGATCACCATCGATTATATTCACGAGTACTCAATTCCATGCAAAAATTGTTCATGTGATCAAAGGCAGCACTTCCAAATCGACTATATACTTGATTACAAGTTAGTCGATAAAATGGACTATTGGCCAGATGAATTGGATGTTTGGAATACCGACCTTTTTTCTGCGCACGCACGTTTTGCATATTTCCTTAAACATGTTGATCGCTATTCCAGCAGTGATCCGTTCTTGATCAGTTTCAATCGAATGATTGATGAGGAAAGTTACATTTGTAACAATATACGTAATCCAGAAGTCAATTCGAAATTACGTGAGGAACTCCTTAAAGTTAAAGCTAATTATGAAAGAAGCGTGAGAAGTATGGCAGAAAACCATACAAACAGTGATTTGATGATTATTAACGAATGGATTGAACGTATCCAAGATATTCCTATAGTACGAAAACAAATGAATGCAGCCAAAGAAATAAAAGATGCTTCTGTCTAGATGTGTTGATATTACGTATTACTAACAGTGTTCAATTAATATTTTTTCAAGTTATATTAAATTTATTTTTCCTATTCTCTATCCGTTCGTGCCATTATGTGCTTAAACACGATTACACTAGATCGTCCTAATAAATAATACGAAAATAATGGAGCGAAAATATCAGATGAGCTTTTCGAATGATTGTTTGTGAAGATAAGTCTCAATACATATATATATATATTAGAACAGGCAATGTGAGTGTGAGTGTTGTTGCGTCTTCTGCTCACCATCATTCCATCCTCTTGACATACATAGAGATGAAGAAATTATTGAACAAGTAGAAGAAAATAACAAGAAGCCGGTAAATGATCTATTTTATTAAGTTTTATCTAAATAAGCAATTTCCAACATACCTTTCTTCTTCTATATGGGAATGCCTGCTCTGGCCGGATGTCTCAAATACTTTTTTGTGATGCAGCTTGTATAATACATAAGAAAACATGATTTTTTTTAACAGTTATAGTATTTGTATAGTGTTGATAATCGGTGAAGAATGAGGAGTTCAAACTTTGTATAAAACCAATATAATCAAATCTTCAAGAAATGTAGAAGTACAGTAAGTTTCATCTACGGTCGAAGTTTCGCACAAAAATATCTATCAATTCTGAAGTTTCTAAAAAAAACTCAATATTTCACTTTTTTGTTTCGTTAATAAGTGTTATTCTTCTATCTCGAATTTTAGAGTATAACTAGGTGAAAGTAATGCAGACTCCCAAGCTGCATAACGTATATACACATTTGAATCTAGAGTACGATATTATTGTTTGATTCTTGGAGTGTAAAACTGACTTTAAGAAAAATAACAATTATGTCGCCTGCAAGCTAAAATTTATTTTGTGCAACACTTTATAATAAAATCAACAATGGCTTGTCTAAATTGATGAACTGCAAATATAGCAAGAACAAACCAGGACAAAGAAACAAAAATCCTTTTGTAATCATAGTTGTTGTTGGTGTTGCTGAACATAGAAAACCATAGAGATTCGTTCATATATTACTTCATCACATAGAAGAAGACATTGAAACGATAATTACAGCAAAGAGAAGGAGAGTGATTCTTCCGAAAAAATATTACCATTATATCGACTTCGTGCGAAACTTTTAAACTTTCAAAACTAGTGAAACCTAATATTCTGATATTACCAATCATCTTCGAAAAGCTTCAAAGGAACCATACGATGGTTTTCCACCATAATTTCCAGAAATATTCTCATTCAAAGCCTAATTTTTAGAGTTTCACTGTTGTAAATGGCAGAAATGTAGAATTTGAGAGTAGATGTTAACCAATGAAACAACTATTTTTAGTAAATGGAAACGTTTGTCTTCAATGTTTCCTATATATTGAAAATTTGCTCACAAACGTCGATTTTTTCAGCGGGATTTTAAAAGAAACTATTCAATACAAAGAAAACATTAGAGACATATTTTCGCTTATTAAAATGATTGTTTCATTGAGTAGTATATACTCGTAAAGTTTCAATTTTCGATCTTTGAAACAAAGAAATCCTAGAAATTAACTTTTTGCTGTGAATACACCTAGAATTGGTTATTGGAAACTATCATATCATCATTCTAAAACTTTTTCATAATAATTGTTAAGGTCATAATATCAAGTTTCAATAGTTCGGAAAGTTTAAAAGGTTTTATATATAAGTCGATGTCAATTCTAATAAACTTCTGGAAGAATCACTCAGAAGCAGGATACACTCCTGATATCTTAGAATTAATTGTTTTATATTTATAAATATCGACAATTGATAATAAAGCACTAATTATTGTCAAGAGAGCTGATTGCGCAAGTATTTTTCATAGAATTCCTCATAACTAAAACAAAAAGTGTGCATACAATATATATAACATTATTATCAATATTATTTGCATTTCTAACCGTTATAATATCATATTCATGTACAGAAAATTAGAAAAGATCTTGTATTATAGCCTTGAAGAAAGGCAAAGTTTACTTTAAGGATAAAAATATAATCAAATGATGCTCGATTAGCTACAACAACTTACCCAGCATCAACCTCATTCAATATTACAATACTCAAAACCTATCAGATATTACGTTTAGCAATTTATTTATCAGAGTTCAGCAAAAATTGTTCTAGCAAATTCAGACAAAATCATATTTGAAAGCTTTAGAAGATTTGAGACCGAATCGAAAACGACCTCGAGTCCGAAAGAAATCAGCAGTCGAATTATTTGTTAAGAGAAGCTCTGAACTATCTCTGTTTATCTTAAGATTTCTTATGTTGATTAAAAGAAACGACTACTGCTTTAGAAATTTTTTTGAAAGTATGACACTTAACTTCAGTGACAAGTGAACAAACAATTTGAGATTCTTCGACTCCTCTATATCACTGAAGAAATATATTTTTGGCATAAAATGTTGGACTATAATGGATAGGAAATAGAGATCCAGAGTTATTAGCCATCCAATCCACTCTCGGATGGTTTAGCAATAAATACAGATCTATTGAAAAGTTTAATATTTTTGTATTTTTAAGAGATCTTTAAAACAATATGTAGTACGATTTCTAGTCTATATTCGGTTGTTATAATCCATATAAATAAATACGATTATGATGGTTGTTTATCTCTTATAAGGAAATAAACACGATACGATAGAAACTGCACTTTAAAGGTGAAAATTCTTAACGTACTCTTCAATAATAAACTTAATATTGTATGTAAAATACAACTTTATATGAAAACATGCTCAACACTAACGACAGCTTTCTTTCGATTGAAAATGTCAAAATCAACAATAATCGAGTGAAAAAGTTTTAGGAGAAAGAAACGTTTTATGATATCAATAAAGGTATAGCCATGTGTAAAGTAAAAGAATTACTCTATGTATTACTTGTCCAGAAAAAATAAAATTAGATAGATAAAAAGTCACTTATAAGAAAAACAGTTCCCAGTAATCACGATAACGTCTTCAAGGTCTTAATGGTGGCGTATGAAAACTATCAACAGGTTGTGTGGTTGTCGAAACAGTAGGATCTATGAAAATTATAGAAAATTGGTTTTGAAATCAACGAATATCTGAAATAGCTTGTTTTTTGGATTTCTTTTAGATTTTATTATAAATCCTGGTATTAGGCTTAACATCAATACTGAACCTGAAACATATTTTCCATATAAACGGTGATAAGAAAACAAATTTTGGTTTATTGATCTGCAATTTCGAAAACCAGACTTAGTTTTCCTAAAATGCTTTTGAAAAAGTGACATTTCGGTCTCTGACACATTTTCTCAAAACACTGGAAATTTCCACGTTAAACTTTTCATCATAATAAGATTTCCTTTGATCGCTGAACTTTTTCCGAAAAAATTTACAAACATCTTTATTAGAATAAATAAGAAGCGAATTCAGTAGGTAACGGCAAATTTCCAAGAGTCTACATCACTGAAAGTACAATAAGAATCCTAGATATAGAGAATATTTGTTTCTCGATTGTTTAAGAGAAGATGTATCTCCAGATTTGTAATATCAAGCAAAGTAACTTACGAATCAAGTAATGAAAAAGATTAATGAATATTGTAATCAAAAAAAAAAACGAAAATCATCGAGACTGGAACCACGACTACATTAGATTTATCAAGACTATGACCAGGAACGATGCAATAGAAGTTCCTAGACCAGAACGAAAAAAACCTTCGTCTCACACATTGCTAGTAACTAATAGATACAGCTGACACTCCCACTACACTCTCTAGACTTGATAGATCAGTAAAACTATTAGTGTTAAAGACAATTACCAATAATATATATCCGAATCTCCAGTTTTATACTTTAAACCTGATACATTACAATAATATATATTTAATAATCGTCGAAAAATTGAATAGTTATCATTAATAGGTAATAATAAATCAGAGTCTGATGTGCTTTTTTCAATCACACGGATGAATCTAAAGACATTGTGAAAGAAGCTGGTAAAAGGAACGATAGAACAAATGTAATCTCTTACTTCGCCCTTTTTGTATTAATTGTTAAAGATACTACAGAAAAACGATAAGAACTATCATTTCATAGGAAAATACCCTTACTGAGTTCGATGAATATAACGTGAATTAATAGATAAGATGATGAAGAATCAAGTTTATCTTTTTATTGAAAAACCCACTTAAATAATGCTGAACTGAAAGAAAAAGTCTAGAACGAAAGAGAGAAATATTGTAACAGTTTGTTAATGAGATAATATGCAAATAATGAACACATCTTTAAAGAATTGAATGTTGCTAATATATCTTACATTTTGTATCTGCTCGATCCACTTTTTTATTTAGCTTGAGAAAAGGAAAAGGTTAAAATAAAATCAGGTCAAAAGGAACTTTTAGTAGCTATTTTCTAGCCAATGAGTGGAGAAAACGAAAGATGATGTGCATAGTCGTTGCAGAATTATGCATACTCATATAGATACATGTTTTGAAAGCATGCTTAATATAATATGAACGCTTTTAAGAGACTACAAAAAACTTGTACTTAGACTATTTTTGCATATACTTCAGTTTTTGATCATGGGACAAAATTACAAATAATTATCTTTTCTCATTATAAATTCATATTTAGAATAGTTTTTCGAATTTTAATAATACTCAAAGAAAAAAACCAATATTCTAGAGTAGGAAGCATGGTTGTTCCCATATATGTATGTGTGTATTGCATGTATAAAATGTGGAAGAAAGATTGGTCTACGACTTTATAAATATTACACGTTTATCACCATTTCCAATGAACATCACAATCTTATCTTTCTTTCTTGAAAAACTATTCGCTTTACTATTAGAAATCAATACAGCAAATGAAAAGTTCTATGCTTTAATCTATTTCTGATAATGATCACTTTCAATCAGTGAGTTATAATTTCTTTTTTTTTTTTTGCAAATGAGGAAAGAGGAGAGCGAGAGAATCGGAAATGCATAGTGACAATAAAATTGAAAGGGATCAGGATGATACTTAGTGAAATGAATATTAGAGGGGAAGCAGAAAGTCATGTTCATAAATGTTAGGTCTATATAATCTAAAAGACCTCGATGTAGTCCTTAAAAGCTCAGTTACGAACTATCTTGGGATCCGTGGAACACGACCGGACTTTTACCAGACTCATTGGCATATCTCATGTGTATGGTTTGAGTTTGTCTCGTGTCTGCATGAGCTTCATGCTCGCTACAGTTCCATCAGGATGGTTCCTGGTCTTGCATGCTAGCGTGCGAATACAATAGAAGAAATTCATTCAAAAAGATTTATTTGGAGTATAGAAAAAAAACATAATTTTTCGAAACGAGTCTATTCGATAGAAAATCGTTGAACACGGTTATTTCCCCATTCGGTGACATAGAGATTGCCACCTCGATCGGAGGATAAACCTTGAGGACCTTTGACTTGATTCGCTCCTTCTCCGTCACCATTTCCACCTACAATAACGATGCCCTGGGTGGCTCCTTTAGGCCAACGCATCACTCGATTATTTTTATCGTCTGTCACATAGATAGTATCCAATATATCGATGAACACTCCCTTTGGCCAGTTCAATTGTGTCAGAGCATTTCCTTCACCTTGACCCCCAGCAACGACAATTCCTTCTTGTGCACCTTTATCCCATTTCATCACACGATGATTATTCCTATCTGACACGTACACAGACTGTTGTAGATCGACAAAGACGTAGGATGGCCAGTCGAGTTGATCAAGGGCATTTCCTCGATTATTACCACCAGCCACAATAGTGCTATTCTTGTCTTCTATCTGATATCGTCTTACTTCGTGTTTATCTGTGTCAGAGATGTAGAGATATCTTTGTTCGTCCATGGCCAGTCCCCAACACTTGATGTTGTCGATGAGAATTTCTCCTTCAGTTGTGCCACTACGACGAGACCATTGTACTACTCGTTGATTTCTTTGATCACAAATAATCAAATTATTCATCACTCTGTCAATCAACACATCGCTTGGTCCGCAAAGTTGATCTAATTGATTTCCTTGGCCCTTGCCACCAGCTACCACTTGTCCATTCGTATCGCCCATTTTCCATTGGATGATACGATGATTGCCCAAGTCAGCAATGACCACTGTTTGATTATCATCCACGAAGAGACCTTCAGGGCCTTGGAGTTGATTGGTGGCACTACCGCTACCGTGGCCTCCAGCCACGGTCGTTCCATTCTGTATCCATCGGGCATCGGCTGAAATATTGAGTATTACTACAATGAACGAAAAAAAAATCGTCATAGCCGCTGTCGAAGAGATGTCTCTTTCTTTGACGAAAGAAAGTGTTACATACGCAACATTCTTCTGCGAGAGAACTTGGTTAAACATTAGTGAATGTTCTTCTTGAAGATATAATTCAGAAAACTATGCTAGTTTCTTATGAAAAAACGATTGCATTTAATAATGAATAGTGTCAGAAGAAGAAAACGAAAAATGTCGAGAACAGTCTATTAAAATCTTCCGTATTTTTCGTACAATATCTTGGTACCCATGCTAATCTTCAATCACCCGAACAATCTTATGTTTTTAACGTGCTTCAATATCTTATCCATTTTTTTGTGAATATTTACCATAAAGACGTTTGAGAGCACAAGTTAGTATATTTCTCTATAAGGTAAGTACTTTTAGTCGATGTAGATGTAATAAGTGACATGCATAAAGTGCACATAATAATCAAAACTTTTTTGAAATTATTCTAACCTTTCTTCTGGATGATCAGCTAATTAGTTTTTGATTAATCTTGTAGCATTCACACTGAAATGTTTACTCTTTCCTGGAAACTAAGAAAGAAACTCTCTGTGATCTTGACAGTCAAAGCTATGAATGAAATACTTTAAAAAACAGATTTGGACAGCATTCGGACACTTTCTGTCTAGGTCATATGAATTCAGACAGGAAAAGAAGAGAGAAGGTCTTAAGAATACAGTGCATTTTTATGACATCTAAAGTCAAATGTATCTTTCAAATTAAAGTCAAGCATTCTATTGTTAAAAAGAACTATATGTAGTAATATCAAAGAAAAAAGAAGAATGGAATTCATTTCATAGAAATTAAAAAAATTAAGTAAAATTCAATCGTGACGAGAAATAGTTAACATGGAGATTACTATGACTTGATTTTTCCTCATAAGTAGAGTTCTGCAGGGTACAACTTTTTCGTACCCTATACTCTACCCTGTGAGAATTTTGATACCCTGGCCCTACCCTGCAGGGTAGGGTTATCCTGTAGGACTCTACTCATAAGAAAGGTTGAATCATTCATAAAATATGACCTTTAACCTTAGCTTCACCTAGCTGCATTCTAATATAGCATTCAAAGGAAGTATAAATATTTAATGAAAAATTAGTGCTTTCCAATATCGAGAAGCCTTAATTTAATATTTACTTAGCTGTTGCGTAGCGGGTGTAGTTGTCGTCGTAGCTATCGTTGTAGTGATCATTGTAGCTGTCGTTATAGCTGTCGCTGTAGTTATTGTTGTAATTGGTATTGCAGTTGTAGTTGAGGCGTCAGTCTCTATGCATCAATATAGAAAATTTTGCGTACATAAAAGGGACAGTTGTAGGTGTGACAAAAAATGTGATATAGAAATTGATGTCCTTAAGATTTAGATTAAGTGTCTAAGCAGTGTGCCAAATTAGAGAGACGACCTAAAACGGTCTGATAATCATTTTTTTTTCTTTTTAAAATATGTTCGGTGGAAAACCTCTGTGCTTATCAGGGACCGAAATCAAATGAAAGTTGCGACGATTCGATGCAATGTGATTCGACTAAATCACATTGTACAGAATTAAATTAAACAAAATCGAGCGATATCGGTTGGACTCTTCATGGCTGTTCACTTGGTTTTTATAAAATTTTGGAAATAGACCGAAGACTTGTGAGACAGCGAAAAACCTGTCTCGTCGAGAACATCATAGATTATTTGTCTGATTTGTATAATAGTTGGTCTTGCGAAATATGTCGAAAATAATTAAAAGCATGAAACGGCTTATGCAAGCGTTTTCGAGACTCAAGCGATAGCTTACTCTATTCAAATTCGTCCACTCTGTTCTATTTCGAATACGAGCATTCATTTATGTGCACTCATGGCTGTTGCAGTACAAAATTTTTATTCGAGGTATGAAAATTATAGTTTCAACTTCTCATAGAAGTATGAATGAAACAAATGTAAAGAGCTATTCGAAAAACAGAATATTATTGTAGAGATCAATAATTACGAACTTTCCTAGTCCTTTCGTTGTCAGACAGTATGAAATGTTATATTCTTCTCTTATAAACTAAATCTAAAAAATTTCTTATATTTGGGCTTTGTCTCCAAAATAAGTGGACACACCAACGGTGTATCAATAATATGCACTCTAGACTCTTTAGTATCTTACTGAGGCAGCCGAGTCCGTGGGACTAGAAGCTGTAAGAAAACAAATTACAGATTCAATTGCTTTGCTAATTGTTAGCAGCCTAATTATGCTATTTACTTTTTAAACGTATCTTGAGCTCAAGCAATTACTACGTCTTATGTAAGTGATCAGTATTAAATGTCGTATTTTTAGCCATTCTAAATAGAGCAGATAGTGAGATAAGTTCGTTTTCTGTCATGTTATCTCTTAACTACAGTTCTTTAAAAAAAACGGCTAATTCAACTTAATATTTACAAAATTCAGTCGACTACGCAACGAATGTTGTGAATAAAGAGGAAAATTGCATAAAAGCATTGATGTGCCCTATAAAGATCCCAACATAATAGGTATTCTACAAAATTGAATCAAACAGATCGATCGATTTTTCATCTTTTCCGGTCTTCGATGTCCATTGAAAAATTCCATGTGTTTTTATGTATTGCTAGATATAATTACAATGGACTCTTTATTTCAAAATAATAGATATGGTCCATGAGGACAAGTGAGACCTTTTCTACAATAATTACAATTTGTTTTGTCTTAGTCACGTTTTATATATATTTTGCAAAGACTCCTCAACTCTTTCCCATCGCTTTCATATCACCATAAATTACATATGTGGAGATATGTAAACGATGAAGAAATATCTTTATGAAAGATTTCAATTCAATCGAAATTTCTAGATCATCATTTGTTCCCTTCCTTTTTATTGAAGGTGTAGGTGCGAGAGGTGAAGATGAGACTCACACCAGAGATGTCCATCGCAGCTGAAAATCTGCCGCTGCCGCGCCGCGACGGTTTATAAAAAAATGTTGCCGCGACGCTGCCGCACCGCGATGACTTATAAAAGAAACGCTGCCGCGATGAATTATAAAATAAACGTGCCGCCACCGCGCCGCTGCCGCGACGGTTTTCAGAAAAGTGTTTCTAATTTCACTGCTGTGACTATATTTGACCAGAGATATGGGTACTAGCCCATCAGATTTATTCAATATCAGGGCGTTTCATTTGTAAATCCTGAAATTCTATTAAATTCATACAGTTTTTCAATGTCCTCCAAAAAAATCCTGCCGCTGCCGCGATGTTTTTTTAAAAAACCTGCCGCTACCGCGATGACTTTTAAAAAAAATCTGCCGCTACCGCGCCGCTGCCGCGGTGATTTTTTAAAAAACATGCCGCTGCCGCGCCGCCACCGCCATCGCGGCGCTGCCGCGATGGACATCTCTGACTCACACTCACCTAAACCCTTCCAAGTTTTTTACTCTTGTATTCGTCTACAATGGTTTGAAGAAAAATTTCAAAATTGACTATTTTTCAGTTGTTAGGAATATCAAGTTGACCACACTGAATTGAATTTCATGTTTGACCTGTATTCGGATTTTAAGATCCAAGCTTGTTTTTGACCATTCTGTTGTATAGACTAACCTCTAAGGCATCTAGAAGAATATTTCATGTCTGTAATTTTTCAAGCTCTATCAGAATCTGGACGAATAAAAGTCATTGAAAGCACTTACAATTTCGTAACTACGACATACAAGCAAGATTAGGGTCACGAAAACATGGGTACCACTCTTTCTTGTGCTCCTGGTGCACTGAAGAATTTTGAACTCAAGTGAGACTATAGCAGTTCGATGTAAGGTTTCAAGCTCTATTAAAAAAATGTCATTGTAGTTATTAAAAACCATCGGCATTGCGTCGAAAAATCTGATATGCGAGCAAAAATATCTCTCATCATCTTATATCGAGAAAAATCGGATGGGTGTGGATGTGGGTACGCTTGGGGGTGTTCATGTTAAATGTGGATTTGGGTAAATATCTTGTTTTCATCTGTACTCATACATCTAGTGTGCTGTCAGCTGTTACTAACAAGAGATCGATGAAGAGCAGATTCTCCTGTGCTTAAATCTCACCCGTCGACTCTGCTGTAGTAGAATCTACTGTCGAAGTTACATCAGTTGTTGTTTTTGTGACTATTGAAGAGACGCTTGCTATTGTTGTTGTGACTATTGAAGAGACGCTTGCTATTGTTGTTGTGACTGTTGAAGGGATATCAGCTATTGTTGTTGTTGTTACTGCTGAATTGGTACCTGCTATTGTTGTTGTGACTGTTGAAGGTATACCTGCTGTTGTTGTTGTGACTGTTGAAGCGATGCTCACTGTTGTTGCTGTGACTGTTGAAGCAACAGCCTCTGTTGTTTTTGTGGTAGTCGAACCGATGCTTACTGTTGTTGAGACTGTCAAAGAGATTGTCGTCGTTGACAACAAGGCAGATGAACTAGTGGGCACGGAAACAGTTGAGGGTTCTGTTGTTGATCGAGTTAAAAGAACGATTGGTACGGTCACGGCAATTGCCACAACCGCAATCACGAGTACAACAACAAGAGTTATGTCCAGTGGACCAATTTTTCTATATGGACAGTGACCTATTATAGCAGTTTTGTTTAGTTTCGTTATACGTACTTGGTGCGCTTTACTGTTCTTTCAGCTGAGTTGTTGATATTGAATTTCTCACGTTTTGGCACTGTTGCGAACTTTGTCACACTCTTGAATCCTAACTTATCAGCCATTTTATCAGGCATGAGTTTGAATAATGAAATAGTTGTTAAATCAAAAATATCGATTGCAGAAAAAAAAACACCTATTATATAGCACGTAATGCGATATAGTTTCGAAGTATATCGTTATCTTTTGCAATTCATGCGTTCTTTAACTTAATGGGATTAAGTACTCTTTACTTTTCTACTCAAAAAACAGTCAAGGCTTCTTTTTGAAGACTTATTAATCAATAATATCACAAACACGAAGATAAAATGAAATTCGTCATTTTATTATCAGCTACAAAAGAAAAAAGCTCTTGATACAACTTAATGTTATTCATTCTGCCCACAATTTACTTATTTTTAATCGTCATCATTCAAATTCATTTTTCTCTATGCGTTAAAGAGGGTAGATTGTGAGTGTGTTTGTGAATGGGTGTTGGATGTAGCTTTCATTGTGAGTATAAATGTGGATGCGAGTACATGTGAATAAGAGTATGGGTACTATACTGAAGCTGCTTTACACTCATGCAACCACACACCTAGTGATGAGCCTGGTATGGATGTGTGTCGTTGAAGAACAGAACAAGACAAACACTCAAAGGCTAATTGTTATGTTTTCAGATACATTCAAACTCTGTCGTTTGACTTGTGAGCAAGTGAACAAATCAAAGAAAAACATCGTTACATGTTCATTAAACGCAATATCGAATCTAACGCATATTTTCATTGCTACATACTATGCCAAATTTAGTGAACTATAAATCCTTCTGACCAAGTTACCACCTCAATTAGAAGTATTAGGCATTCATAACTCGATAAATTTAAGTTGTTTGGATGCTTATCGGTGGAAATAAATGATTTCAAAGTATTTACTTTTTTGTAAGGTAATTATGTTTCAACTTCATGAAATTATGGTTGAAAATTTCACAATAACTGATTATCATGAGTTAATAAGTCGATTCAATCCTTGATTTTGGAAAGAACGACAATGGGTTTTTCGAATTTCTATTGCAATATTTACGATATACAAAATGTTGTTGTGTTCCACCTCATTGTAAAAGTCATTGAACTTTCTGATCTTCTTATTGATGACTCTCTTATTGGCACGATTGGTCCAGTTGTATGTAAATTACAAATAACCTGTTTAAATATTATGTTTGAGGAAACTTTTACTGACACGTTAATCAACATGATGAAATATTTACTGAATTGTGATTCAATAGTCATTTCAGCTTTATCAATGGTAGAGCGAAGATGTTTAACAATTAAAGAACAAGTTCTATTTCTTCTTGATCTCTATCCTCGTATGATATATCTTGATATGGATCTAAAGGACGGTGTTTTTTCTGAAACATCTGTACAAGTTATCGAAACGATGAATACTTAAAACATCCGGCATTTATATTCATTGTGATAAAATTTCACAATCGATCATGAATATTGTCAGAAAACTTGAAAAAAAAATTGCTATTCACCAATAGCGTTTTAATGATACTGTCGAACAAATAAACCATTGCATTTATTTTCGATTGAACGCGTTATATTTATGTTGCTTTATAATTTTTTCACTAAAACTTAGATATTTCACATACAAAGCGATCTTTTTATTCAAACTTATGCACTAAGCCAAGAGTTATCAATAGATTTGAGATAGTCCACTTAAAATTTTTTCCACTAGAATGCATCATATCAGGTCATGATTATATGCTGCATAAAATCGAATATGAAATATTTGGAAGAGTTTTTTTCGTAAAGCTTGCAGAAAAAATTTTGATGATATTAGTTTCAATAATAGTCTTCTGGAAAAAATGTGATGTTTTATGAAACACGATCTAAAAGGAGAGTTGAAGCATGTATGATAGAAGTTGGTCCCAACGAGTGATGTCACATATCCACAATATCGGGTATGCTGGAGAAGTGTAGCGAGATGCGAGAGAAGTATAAAAAGATCTGGGAGAAGTGTAGAGAAATGCGAGAGATGTCACATATCCTCTCCGCCCTCACCCTCAATCAGAAAGATGTTCTGTGTCCCTCACCCTCACTCAGAGAGATGTGCTGTGTGTCTCTCCCTCACCCTCATTAAGAGAAAAGCGGAAGATGCCGCGTCTCTACACAAGATGCGGCATCTCCCTATGGAGATGCGTCTCCCGCTGGAGTCCTAGGCTAAAAATCAAAAAAGAATTTTCATCAGGAGATGCTGGGAAATGCCGATGCGGGAGATGCCGCATCTCCCTGTGGAGAAGTGCAGGAGATACGGCATCTCCCGTATCGACATCTCTCAACATCTGCCGATGGAAAATTGTTTTTTGATTTTTGGCCTAGGACCCCGGTGGGAACCGTGTCTACCATAGGGAGACACCGCATCTTGTGTAGAGACGCGGCATCTCTCGCACTTCTCCACAGGGACATACGACATCTCCCAGCATCTCCTGATGAAAATTCTTTTTTGATTTTTAGCCTAGAACCCCAGAGGGAGGCGCGTCTTCATAGGGAGATGCCGCATCTCGTGTAGAGACGCAGCATCTCCCGCACTTCTCCACATGGAGGTGCGACATCTCCCGCATCGGCATATCCCACTTCTCCCGATGGAAAAAGGTTTTTTGATTTTTAATCTAGGACTCATCTGAGCGATGCTGTATCTTTAAACATCTCCCCAGGAAATGCTGTGTCTACAGGAGATGCGGCGTCTCCAGCATGCCAGATTTGCTGGATATGTGACACTGCTGTATTCAACACCTAACAAACAGTCAAGTATTTCTTGATTTAAAAAATGAAACTTGTTGGAACATAAGCACTTCAGCTAAAATGGATGTCACAATAATTTACTCAGTAGGACCGAAATAGGTTAATTCTAATTTGGTTTCAATTTCAGCCAAAATCGAGTATTGGAAGTGGAATTGATCAGACTCAGAATAAATGTGTCTTAAGTGTTGCAAAAGAATTCGAAAAAACTATTCATTTGCGATTAACTACAAGCACTATTATTGTTAATAAAAAATAAATTGCTTTCGCAAAATTCTACAACAACCTAAAAATTTTAAGAGTAATACTGGAAATTTCCCTTCTACATAATTGACGAGTTTCGAAATTTTCTTTCTATGAAGATGGGATTTCTAAAAATTGGTTTTTCTCATGGGAAAATTTTGGAAACCTGTTCATCACTACTGTAAGTTGAATTTAATAACTTAATAGATGAATAACCATCAAAAAATTTGCTTGCGAAAACAACCTAGGCTTCTTGTATTAAGTTAATTGCTATTAATTGTTGTTGAATATTATAGATAAAGTATAAATCAATAAAGAGTCTCGTTAGAAAACTTTCGACCTGATCGTTATTGTCAATATTATAATTCATCAAAAACGTTCCTATCGTTTCATAGTATACGGCAATATTCATCAAATTTCACAGTTATCATCAAGCTGATATTTGGAACCTTTACCAACTATTGGTTATTTATCTTGTCTTGAAACCAAAGTGATTCAGTCAGTAGATTAAACTATTTAATAGTTCATTTTTAACATCATCAAGTGAAAACCACGCCATCTTAAAAAGACGATTATTTTGTGAATTTCTGTATATTATTTTGACAAGACTAATAGTGAAATTGTTTATTCTAAGATATAAAACCCGTAATGAGTCGATTTCTCGACATTGATCTTAATGACAAGAGAATTCCACCAAACTTTGGTTATAGACATCAATCATTACTTTCACTTGAACATGCTCTTGAGCCCATCGTGCCTCGTATTGACCATTTGCATCAATATATCAAGGAAGCTTTAGAAAAATGCCATTTTCCATCCGAACACAACCTTACACATGACGAATCAGCCTCGATTTATCTTTATACCATGGAATGGGGTGCTCATAGTTTATATCAATTGTTGAATAACGATTTGCGATCGGAAGACCCATCTTCATTGACACCATGGGCTAATTATCTCAAATTATTCGAAATTGCACTTACAAAACTGCCCAAAGAGAAAAAACGTCTTTGGTGTGGTACGAAAGATAATGTCAACCAGAATTTTATTAAAGGTAGTGAAATAATTTGGCGAAGTGTGAGTTCTTGCTCAACCACACTAAATATCATCAAAGAATTTCTCGGCAACGATACAAATGCTACACTCTTCATGATTGAAGCGGTGAACGGTAGAAATTTGAGTGGCTATACAAAACATCCAGATGAAAACGAAGTATTGCTCGGTCCAGGCACTCGATTAAGTGTGGAAAGTGATGATTTAAAACTTAATGATGGTCTAAAAGTTCTGCATGTAGTAGAAATAACGGACAAGAATAATGAAACATTACCAGCAGTCATAAATACGATTAGCATAACATCAAAACCAGGTAGGACTAATATACATCTCTATCAAAAATATGTGTTCTCATGATCAAAGTAGATATCAATGTCATTTTCGTTCCAGGAGTAGAAACTTTGAAAATTCTTTTGAATATGGATTCTATGAAAATCGAAAAAGGCATCCAAATTTTGATATTGTCTATTTTTTGAGGACATCAAAATATAATTTTTACTGACAGAGTTATATTTGCAGAAGTTCATAATAAGGAAGTAGAATTTCGACTCTAGAACACCATAGAATTATGGACTCAAACAAAACATTTCTAAAGGACTTTGGCATTTTTCTTTTATGCTAGTTGGTTGAGTCGTGTATCGTTTTAAATCTTCCTGCTATCTGGCTTGACTCAGAAATCAACGAATCACATCAATATTATTCTGAATCAATTAGTGAAATACGGAGTATTGTGAATGATATGAAAATTTTCACTGATGCTGCAACATGCGTCAACTTTTTAAATAAAGTAAAAGACACCAAAATATTGCTGGTGACAACTGGATCACTTGGTCAAAGCATAGTTGTTCACATACATCATTTGCCACAAATCCATTCAATATTCGTATTTTGTCGAGACACGGCAAAGCATGAACAGTGGACAAAGAGTTGATCCAAAATTAAAGGTGTTGAAGCAGATTTTGAAGCGATTTGTGAATTAATCAAAATTGCTACAAAAAATATCAAAAACGACTCTATCGATACCTTGATTACTCTGAATAACAATGCGATAGATCAAAACATGGATTTTATCGATCAAAGTTACATGTACACATTTCTACTGAAAGAAATTCTTACTGATATGAAACATGATAAACGATTAATTCAAGAATTTGTCGCCTATTGTCGTGATTGGCATGGTAACGAATTCCCAAAACAGGATATCGAACAGTTTCAACAAGAATATCATGAACATTCACCCATTTGGTGGTATACAGCACCGCATTTTCTCTACTCAGTGCTTGAATATTCTTTGGAAACTCTAGATTTTGAAGCAATCATCAAGCTGGGTTTCTTTATTCGCGATCTTCATGAACAATTAGGAAAACTTCATTCCAAACAGTTCAAAAAAGTTAAGGGAGAATTGACTGTCTACCGTGGTCAAGGATTACCAAAAAGTGATTTACAAAAGTTAAAATCACATGTAGGCGGTCTCTTGTCGTTCAACCACTTTCTATCAACTAGTCCAGATCGTCTTATTTCTATTGCCAATGCTAGGCAGGCAGCCGAAAACCAAGAATCTGTTAGAGTGTTATTTGTGATCACGGTCGATCTATCGATTTCATCGACTCCATTTGCAAATATTCGAGATTTACAATATTACTCAAGTCATGAATCAATACTATTTACTACACACAGCATCTTTCGAATTGAACGTATTCAACAAATGGATAAAGAATCTCGATTTTGGAAAGTACAACTTACAATGATGGAACATAACGATGGCTATTGGAGCTCTCTAACGGAGTTCATGAGAAAGGAAATCCAAGGACCAGCAGAATATCATCGATTTGGTAATTTGCTAAGAAAAATATGCGGGTTTGAAAAAGCATTTCATTTGTGCATGATGCCACTGAAACAAATTAATGATGACTTTGAAACATGGAATTTTTATTATCAACTTGGAATGATAAAAATCGAGCTGGGTGACTACACAGGAGCGATCTCTTATTTTCAAAAATCAATTCAAGTATACGAAAAGAAATGCGCTATTAATGATTCTCATTTAGCTGCATCTTACACAAATCTCGGTCTCGTATATGCTAATCTGGGAGAATATTCAAAAGCAATTTCATGGTATGAGAACGGACTAGCAGTCCGTCACAAAATACTGCCTCCCAACCATGCCGATTTGGCTGATTCTTACAGTAAAATTGGTTCGGTGTATTGTAATTTAGAACAGTATGAACAAGCACTTTCATTCCATGACAAAGCGTGTGAAATACGTCTGAATATACTCGCTCGAAACCATCCAGATTTGGCCACTTCTTTTAGTGACATTGGTGTAGTGTTGAACAATGTAGGAAAATATTCTAAAGCGCTTCAATTTCAAGAAAAATCACTGGAAATTCGAAGTATAGTGCTACTACCAAACCATCTTGATTTAGCTGATTCGTACGATAACTTTGGTTTGATATACAATAATATGGGATATTACTCAAAAGCACTTTCATTCTTGGAAAAAGGACTTGGTATTCGACAGCAAATACAAATATCGAATCATCCGAATTTAGCTGATTCTTACAATAACCTCGGTGTAGTATACAATAAGATGGACGATTATTCAAAAGCGCTTTCATTCTTGAAAAAAGGATGTGAAATTAGACTTCAAATGCAACATTTGAATCAGTCGAAATTAGCTGATTCTTACAACAATATTGCTGGAGTTTATTATAAGATGAGAAAATATCCGAAGGCAGTTAAATATCAGAACCAAGCAGTCGAAATCGGAGAAGCTTCATTGCCTTCAAATCATCCTCGTCTCCTTTTTTGGAAGCAGAAACTCAAAGAAATCCAGGTCAAACAATACAATGAGCAGGATTCAGATTTAGATTTCATCAGATTTTGTCTGAATCCGAAGAAAAGCAATGGAACCCTGTCAGACCTTTCTAGTACCCACTCGAATACGACTATCGCACTTCTGGCGTCTAGGCTCTCGGTTACTTTCGATAGAATTCTGCCGCTATCAACACGATCATAGAATATCTGATGGAATAGCTTCTATCTGGTGAAAGAATAAAAATGTCGAATAAATATGAGTAAATGAAATTTCTAACATGTATATGCGTGTAGTGTGGGGTCTGTAAAGAGACAGAACACCTCTGCACCCACACATAATCGACCGTTTTTACTTTTTATGTAGGCATGACATTTTGTTTTTTAATAAAGACTTATCTAATCTCCGTGTTTGTTAGCCCCAAATCTAATTAATATATCATTGAAATGAAAACAGTTGTTGTCAAAAGATCAATATTTTTGAAAAATTTAACTGTGGACACTCATGGCCAAAAATTGGAAGAAAAAATATTTCTCTAAAGAAAATGAAGTAGGGTGTGTGTGTGAGTATCGCTTTCTCTCAATAGCCACACACCCATACCCTAAACAAGCTATTGTTATTTGATAGCTCAACTATACTATTTACATAACAAGTATTTCAATAAGCATGGTTTACAAAATTGAATCTATAATAGATTTCATTTTTCACAAGGTCCATTATCTATATTGATAGCAATAACATCCAAGTAAAAAATTATAAAAGAAAACATTTTCTGTGAATTATTAGTAAGTTTTAAATAAACACTACACCCAAACTTACTTGAAATGTAATTTAGATGAATATTTATTATAGTGATCGAATAACAATTTTAACACATTTAGATTTAAAAAAATTATTATTTTCATGAACCATCATCAAACATAATCAAAATATTCGTCACATTTTTATATGATGATTTAATAATTGATTATTATGAATTTCATATTAATCAATTATTACAAACAGAAAATAATTATATTAAACAAAAAATATATTTTCTATATCCAAGAACAAATCAATTTGTATATGTGATCAGGATTATTATCGTGTTGAATGTTTTACTTATGATCGAACAAATGATCAATGTCAAGCATGTTTATCTTATGGTATATGTTTAAAAGGTAATATTCACAATGATAAAGATTTTTTTATGTTTATGTCAAAAATATTATTTTGGCCAATCTTGTCAATTTTCTAATTAATTTATGATTATTACACTCGATACATTAATTATTAAAGATATACAACAAAAAGCAAATATAATTGCTATGATATTATATATTTCATTTATTTTTATTATTGTTTTATTTGGTTTTTTGAATAATTTTTATAGTTCTTTTTTTACATTTTGTTCGTTCAAAATTACGTAAAACTGGTGTTGGAAATTCTTTTCTTATTATATCAATTATTAATCAATGTTCACTTTTATTCTTATTATTAAAAATTATACATATTATTTTGAGAAGTAATGGCATCCTATTTCATTATAATACATTTAATTTATTTTCATGTAAAATTATTTCATATTTTTTGTTCAATTATTGATTATCAAGTCTCTTTACAATTGAACGTCTATCTGTAGTATTATTTCCAACAGAAAATAACTTTGAAGAAACTCTAAAGTTATTCTAAGTTTACATCTAATCATCATTTTAATCTTATTTGGAATGTATGTTCATGAATTATTATATTATACATCTATTATTGATCTTTCTTAAACAAATGTTACACTTTGTGTTATTAATTATGTACAACAATGGATTTCTATCTACAATCGAATGAATCTTTTGTTTCATTATTTTCTTCGATTTCTTATTCAAATTATATGAATAATAATTTTAATTGTATAAATAGCTCGAAGTCATGTAAAAACAACTGGTGGACGATAAACATTCAAAGAAGTATTTAAAAAACAATTTTAAACAAGAAAAGATCTTTATATAATACCAACTATTATCATTTTTAGTTCTATACTACATATTATTTTTTCATTTGCTTATGCTTGTACTGATCTACAACAATTATGGCAATGTTATCCTCTACTTATAGCCTATTTTATATCTTATATGTCACAAATTCTTGGTTTTATACTTTATCATGTGTGGTTTATCTCTTCGCCTATTGAATCATTCACACATATATATTCTCAAATGTATAACCTGATTTTTATCCTAATTTTGTTTTTGGATGAAAAATCTTGAATAATGCTGATAATTGTATTGGTTAATGACTATAATCCGACTGTTTCTAATTAAAATCTAAGATTATAATTATAACTAAAAATTATAACAACATTAACATTCGACGAAGTTACTCTATTATGAAATTTTTAAAGTCATACTTTTTATTCAAAACTATGTATGCTTGATAAATACATATTCAATAATAATGATTATAATCTTCACATCTAGTTTATAATTGTTAACATAGAAATAATTCGAAATATTACATATTAACGAATGTATTGTTTTATTTACAAGTGACAATATAACTATGAAATAATGTAACTTGCAAATGAATGCATGAAAAAAAAATTCTCAAAAAATAATGAAATATAAATATTATAATTTAATCTATCAAAAAAATATCCATTAAATTAAAAGAAATTTGAGCACAATCATTTTAACTTTTTCCTGTTTTTCTCAATTAATAGTTTTAACTTCTATAAAAGAAAAAGGTCTAGTATACAATTAACTGCTACTAGAAAAAAAAAGATGTTTCGCACGGGCTGAATATTCATTGCTACTATTGCGTAATAGTCGAAAATAAAATTTAATCATTGAATATCAAGATACTGCATTTGTAAACGCTAGAATTTACACATAAATTGATATGACTTTACATAGCTTTGTAAAAACAAAGTTTTCACCATTCGGCTACGGCGACAGCATTGCAATAGATACTTTTGTTTTTAAAAATGATTTGCTTATGTATTTGATTAAATTATTATTTTTTAAATAAGTTACACATTTAGATAAATCTATTTTTAAGTATAACACAAACTATTAATTAATTACAGCAACTTTTTCAATATTAATCTCTATATGTTTAGGTTGATTTAGATTATACAAGATTAGAAATGCCTACAAAGTTATAATCTTATTCAGACTAAATATCAAAAGAAAAACATGATAATTTTATGCTTCAAAATTCTTTAAAATATCTAAATATAGGCGAGGATGAAGACTGAAGAAGTTACATATGATATTTCAAAAAAATCTGTCGCTGCTTTATTTATTGCTATAATGGAGCTACTTTTTACATTATAAAAAAAAAAGTCGATCGAATTTAATGTAATTGTTCTGCTAGTGACTGAATTTAAGAATAAATTTCTGTTTCAAAAAAATAATTAGGTTGTTGTACACAAATCGAATGAAAAAACAAAAATTAACAATTGAAATTTCGAAACCAGCTTTCGGAAAATTTTCTATTGAGTATGAAGTATCAGTACGGGATGCAAGATACATACGTGGATCTTCTCTTTACTATTTTTTTCGTATTATTCCGTTATCTGTTCAATCATTCAACTTGTATGACATTATTCTATTGTTTCAATTATTGTTATAAAGTATCTTCGAGCGTAATAAATAAATAGTACTCTCCAAAAAAAAAAAAAAAAAGAAAACGTCCTTATAATGAAAATACGACTACTAAAAATTACTTTATTTTATTTACAAACAAGCCGTATAAGGAAAGTTTGAAATTAATATGACAATTGACTTATTCTTTTTATTCAATAAGTCTTACTGATTGTTAACACATAATTTGAAATAGTTTCGAAAGACATTCAATGAACTAATTAAAAACAAAAAAAAATTCATGTAGAGTAAATGTTGAAGTTTTTTCTTTTTTGCACAATATCCAATCTGACAGATAACTTTTGTCATTTTACTAATAAACATTTCTTATTGATAATGTAGTAAAATTGTGTTCAATTCTAGTCTAATTTAATATTAGTTCGTTTGATTATCTGAATTGCTATATATTAGTTTATTTCGAACAATTATAATTTTCAAATGAAGTAGTTATTTTTTTTTTTTTTCAAGATAAATTTATGCTTTATTGCCTTTGTCCTGATTAACCTATTACGTCGAGTAAAAATTGTTTTCATTCAAATGTCAATGGTATGCTTATTCATTTGGAAAGTCGTGTATGAGAATGAAAGACAAAAATTATATTAGATTCAATCTTTAAATCAATATTGAAACAATAGACTTTATGGTTCTTGAAAGTTGTTAAAGTCTCTTGTTTCCACGTAATTGACGAACTGCTTTTTTTTTTGTTCGGCAAAATTCATATTGAGAAAAACAACATTATGTTAAGTTTTTCTAAAAAAAGAAAGTTAATTTTCGTCAGAATTATTGAAATTAAGGCATTTACATGAGTAGATAACTCAACACATGATTCTTTTGTTTTTTTTAGCGAAAATTTTGTTAGATTGTAGTTAATTGTCTTTTTCTTCTGTTTGACAGAGCATATCAAGATACCGAGCATGACAACAGTTATGTCATTTTTGTGGATTAATCTTTGTTACGATTATATGCAAGAATAGTTTTATAATTGGAGTATCATTTTTTTTTTTAGAGTTATTCAACTTTTCTTCGCTTAAAAAAAAAGAGAGAGCATTTCAGATTAATAAATGACTTTTGTTTGTTAAATATTCGAATATAGTTGAGACCTAAGATCGATTCTGAAGGCATGCGAAACTTTAATGATAGTTGATTTTTTTTTTTTATTTTTGTAGTTGAGAAATCAATACTAATTTATTCTTAAGAAGACAAATAAAAACTATAACTATATTTTTGTTTTCACAAGGGACCCAATTTACATCGTCGTTTTGACTAATGATCAAGCATATATATATATATACATCGAGATGTCCTCGATTTTGTTGAGTATTGTCAAGTGGTGATGAGGCAAAGCAAAAGATCCTATTAAAATAGTGTTGAAAAAAAGAAAGAAAAGAATGCCGAATAAATTTACAATATGGAACTGATTTCTTTTTTTTCTTGTCGATGATGAGTGCTCTTAGCCGACAACAGTAAAACACAAGAGCAAAGAAAAAAAAATGATGATGATGATCGTCTCGTATACACTGCAGGAATCCCGAACGAAGCGACAAGTGGTTAACAAGTTTTTTTTTGTTTCTTATATGCATCCGATAAATAATCTTTTTATAAAAAAAAGAAATACAATCAATTGATCATTCAAAATCATATAATTAGTTTTTGATAAAATATGTAAATGTTTAGTAGTTACTTTGACAAAAAAATAAAATAATAAGTCAAATCATTCACTCTTAATACATCGTATGAAATTCTATTTCTTTCTTTATTAGTGATACTATAGAATAAAATGCTTAGATAATTTATGAAATATTTTTCAAAAAAAAAAAAAAATTATTTAAAATAGAATCTCATATCATGCATATATCCTGTCATCTTTTTAATATGTCCTTTTTCCGTTAAAAAGTATCTTTCTACAAAAGTAAAACGGATATACTTGTTGCCGGCAGGCTTCTTTTTTAACAATTAGAAGAGAAACACACACAAAAAAAAAAAACTAGAATAAAATATATGATCTAAATCCTACCTTTTTCTTAATTATCATTTCAATTTCCTCTCGAACTATCAAAACTCTTCTTTTTTTTTTATCTATTGCATGTTCATAAAGTGATTTCGATTAATATACACGCACAAAAAATAGATTTATTTATTAAACACACATACAAAAAAAAAAAAAGAAATTTTTTAGTCTTGATTATTTCTTGCAGAATTTGTATTACTTACATGTACATTACGTACATGTTTTTTTAAATCAAAATTTCGACAAAAACCTTTTGAACATATCATACATGCATATGGTTTTATTTCTGAATGTGTATACATATGAAATTTTAAATTATATATTTGATGAAAAGCCTAGAAGACAAACAAAAAAAAAAACTTTCAATGAATAAAAAATAAAATTTTTTTTTTTCATACTTTTGAACATATAGAACATTTATATTGTTTTATAGTTGAATGTGTTAATTTATGATTTTTCCAATTTCCTTTTTGATGAAAACCTTTTCCACAATATTCACAAATCTAAAAACACAAAACATCAATGTCATTATTATTATAAAATTTTTACCCATGGTTTAAAATTTTGATGTATACGCATATGTGTATTTAATGTTGATGAACGATTAAATGCTTTTCCACATATACGACATTCATGTGGTTTTTCAGATGTATGAATTATTTTATGACGACATAATGTTGATGCTTGTCGAAAACCTTTTCCACATACCTTAATATAATTTAATAATATCAAAAAAGAAATTAATATAAAAAGAGAAGTATTTTTTGTTTTTTTTCATACTTTGCAAATAAATGGACGAATACCAGTATGTACTGGCATATGTCGAACTAAATTATATTGAGCAGTAAAGATCTATTTTTTTTTTAAATAAAAGATTTTAATTTTTATATTTTAATAGAAAAATATTTATTTTACTTTTCCACATTGTGTACAAGGATAATTTTTTAATTTATCATTTTCTTCATTATTTGATAAAGGATTTATTTTATCATCATCATTACTACTTGAACATTCACCTAAATCATCATCATCAACATCTTCTTCTTCTTCTTCTTTTTCTTCATCATCTTCAATTTCCATATTATGACGTATAGATGATGTATCCATATCAGTATCATCATCTTCTGAAACATTATCATTTTCTGTTATTATTGATGGTGAAATTTGTGTTCGTTGAATATGTTCCCAAGCTTGATTTAATTTACTAAGAAAAATGAATGAAGAATGTAATGATAAATTTTCTGTATAATTTTTATTTGCTATTTGTGTTAAAAATGACCAACATGGATGAGAAATTTTATCA